GAGATAAGATTGCGTAGAACTTGCTGTTCTGATGATGTCTTTTTCGGCAGGACGGACAGAAGCCCAGCTCGCAAATATCGAGGTATAAGGACTGTGCGCTTATTTATTCCTTGATAGAATCAGCATATGTAACCCTATGTCATTCACTCTTCAGTTTTCCCATTGGCTAATTTGTGAATACCCTAAACCATATCCATACGACATCAGACTGTCGAGGTAGTTTAGCAACTCATCATCCATTTTCCTAATAGGCACTATGCTAGAATTTAAGCTCTCCTCTTGACTATAAACAGGAATGCATCATAGTTGGCCGTTGTATGGGAAATGTATGAGATAGATAGGCAGGTAGTGGGTGCATAGATCTTAAGTCTTTCGACCTATTTGACTTCTGTGACTACTTTATACCTGCTCAAAACCCAGCTTCCCTGTTTTTGCAATATTATCAATCCTAAATCTGTGTAAATCAGTTCTAGTGCTTCGGCGGTTTCATGCACCGTGAGTTGCTTAACAACCCGGCAAAAGCCTGGGATATTATTTATAGAATAAAACAACATTGACTTTAAATGGGAATCTAACTACCTCTTTCATGGGCAACTGTGTACCGATTATATGACTTGTTAGTAGAATGAATCACTCAGTCATGAGGGCTTTGTAAAACTTTCATCATTTAGTCTAGGCCTCCGCCCCTAAAATTATAGGCACATAGACATTTGTTAATTTATAGGGATTCATACTTTTGACATCTGCTTTTGTTGTAAATAAGAACTGTCCTTAGACCGTCATGAGGACTCGAGGCACGCTTTTTGAAAAGAACATGATAAATTCAATTTAAACAAAGATACAGGTGAGAAGACTCTTTCAAACGCTGGCACACATTTTGGATTAATAATGAATATTTTAATGCTGAGTTAAAGCAAATTTCAGAGTTATGCATTTAGTTCCTGTCTTTCGCTTCTTCACTCGCAACATTATGGCTCAAAGTTTGGACGTGTAAAGTACGGATAAAACATGTTAGGCCCTGGGACACACAGCTTACATGCATGACTTCCGCAGCGAATAAGTGTCTCTCTATTGGCGTGAGGCAATGGAGAAATTGTTGATGATGACAACAGTGAGGTTGAAATTGATGCAGACATCATCGGGCTTTTCCGTAGCTATCACCAAGACACAAGCTTTATCTTGCCTTCATCACTTCAATCGAGTAGTAATTTTAAACTGGCAAGCCTTGGCAACAATCGGACTTTTGACTCTTGCTAATTTCAAATACATGTCAGTCCCTTGGCTCAGGTGACATGACAAATAAATTTGTGGATTTGAGGCTTTATCAGAAATAGCATCACTTCTTACAAAGATGATTCATTTTATCAGGACAAAATAAATGCAAAGTAGCCTTGAATGTGCATCGGGACAAAGATTACTGCTGGCCCAATTATCGTAATTGTTGAGCTTAGTTACATTTCGAGTGAAAATGTTGGGTGAAGAGATTCGAAGGTCGGTTCCTCTTGACCAGCTGTCGATTGGCTTTACTGGTAGATTAATGCTGACGCTGTTTCCGAGGCAATCTCCTTCGATTCCAGTAAAAACGTGCTAAGCTTTCGTCCGTCATGTGACGAACATCATCAGAGCAAGGTATCATCGTCACAACAAAATTGAAACTAATGAGTCAAGAAAACACACCAACAAATGCAGATAAGAAGTGCAACTTGGTTTCGATGAATCACCAACAAATCCCTCTACATCTTGATCAAGTATGAAGTGATTTGGTTAGTTAAGGTCATATGTCGATTTCGATGCATGTGAGTGTGTCGGTGTGTTTTCTTGACTTGTTAGCTTGAATTTTGTTGTGGTGATGATACCTTGTTCTGATGATGTTCGTCATATGAAGGACGAAAGCTTTGGAATCGAAGAAGATTGTCTCGAAAACGGCGTCAGCCAATCGACAGTTGGTCAAGATGAATCGGCCGTCGTCTTCTGGTGGAACCGACCTTCGAATCTCTTCACTCAACACTTCCACTCGAAATGTAAATGAGCTCAACAGCATTTATGAAACAAGAGATTCCTCGAAACCCAACTTTTCCTCGCACCAATCATATTATTCACATGATCAAACCGATTAACACTTTAAAGCCGAGACAATGAAAGGCAATAAAGTTTCCCGTTTGATCGTGTAGTATTTATAGCAAGATTTCCCAATTGGCAGAACCTTCTGTAGAGTCATTGTCCAACACTCCGACCTAGATTCAGGCCGCAAAGAGATAAAGTAATCAATAATCAGTTGTGGTTAAAGGTGACGAGTCAAACCCAATTTTATTTCGTCCAATCACGAAGAAGAGACAACATTTTTGACAGTTCACGCTTTGCCTCAAATCTCCAGAGTATATATTCTGGCTAATCATATTATTGGTTGGAATAAAGTAATTATTCAACACTTTTAAAATCATCGATTCAATTGAAAACGATTGATTTCGCAGAAGTTTAATTATCAGATGCATCACATTAGCGATTTAATTTCCAGCTTTGCTTTGTTTATTTTAAGATCAATTTGCTCACTAACTCGGTTGGTCAATGAACAGAGTGTGCAGACAAAGTCAAAACGTACACATACAAGGCTTATCCTCAACACCGGCGTGGTCATGGCTGTCAGAAGGCTCGATTGGTATGAATGATAAATCAAAATGGATTGGTAAAACAAGTCGGAATTTTATCTGTATATATTTTTTAGCGAAAGCGAAGGCAATTTATTGCAATTTAATCGCATAAATTATGCATTATTTTCGTGCGGATTTACAGCAAGTGCTACTAGTGCTTCTATCCAAGTTGGTTTCAAGAAATGATCAACTGAAATGCATGACACGCCAGTAATCGTTTTGGTGTTTGGTATATTTTATCAACCTGTCTTCATAGATTATACATGTTGATTAAGCTTTTATGAATCTCCTATGACAGACGATAGTGATGGTGATTCTTTTTGGCGTCAGAGATCCTGCAAAGGGAGCGGCCACAAGCCAGATTCAGTTCGAAATGTGTAAAAACGGTGTCTACAGGATTGTAGCAGTAATCCGCCCAAAAGCATCACCAACTTCAAATGTAGTCATGACGATACAATCGAATTCCGGGCCTGATAGTTGAACAAAAGCCTCATTTGTCAGAATGTCTGTAGGGCATCTCTCTTAAGCAACGGCCTGTTCTGTCCTAAATAAATTGCTTTATTCTTATCCCCC